TATTATATATATATATATATATATATGTATATATATAATATTTATGTATATATGTATGTATATATGCGTATATGTATGTGTATATATATATATATATATATATATATGCCATCTTAAAATATTAATTTCTGATTGAATGAAAGTTAAAGGTCTAAATGTAAAAACAGTATTATATAAAATATAAATGTATTAATATAATATAATATATATAATAATAATATAATATTAATATAAATGTATTAAAATAATACATTTTGAAACAATAAATAATTTAAGCAGAAAACATGCATAATAAATTTAAATTAACAAATGCCAATGCATTTAAATAAATGTAACTATTGAAATACACCTCATATCTTGCATCCCTAATCATTATAAATAAATAAATAAATCCTGTTATCCTAGATTTGCATTGCTGTTGCCATTTTATAAAAGCAATAAACTACTCAAGGCATGCATAATGGTGATTTTAGCATGATAACGGGTTAATCGTCATGCATAACAACCCTTAAATGTAAAATCACTCATGCATGGTTTCTCTAAAGGCTTTTAATACAGCTTTAATGTGTGTGTGCTCGTGTATTTCTCTCAATACATGCTGACTTTGCACCGTTTTAGGCAGGAAACACCTTGCCATGGGAGGCAGCGGGACTCTTTCTGTCCATTGTATTTCACCGTCAGACTTCACACACCCAAGTTCACACAGGACTTCGGTTCGTTGTGTTCACAAAGCGAGGTACAAATGAAACCCTCCAAGGTTCTCCTAGTCTATCCAAAAGTATAGCACATACTGATAACATTCGCCCCTATGCGATCATACAAATAACTCAGAGATGCACAAAAGAAGACCAGGTTACAGCGAGATGGCTTTACTCAGGTGGTGTCTGATTTCAGGACGCCACAAAGAAGGAAAAGTGCATCCAAAAAACACAAATCTGCCCCCAACTAGAGGAAATGGACGGCCAGAGCATCTGTGATTGGTTCCTCTCGAAAACAATCATGCACACGCATGCACACCATCTGTCTATCCAACACAGTCTAAAGAAAGGGGGGCCACGAGCTCTCATATGAAGGATTAGACTACTGCTACAGGCCAATATAGCACCGACGGACAGTTAAATG